ACGAAACGTGTGTTTTGGATTCCACTGCAAGCTAGCATCCATTTCTGTCTATAATGCCCGTGATTTAAGGTAATATCAAGTCAATCTTTACAGGATGTACATATGCCAATAAGAGACTGATCAATTGCAATCCTAAATATCAATGGGAAGATTCAAATAAACAATGCAAAATGAATTATTCGAGTTCATATTTGTTCACAGATTTGGATAGCTTCAAATGTACAAAGTACATTGCTTAAAAATTGTGGTGTACATTATAATTCTTTGTAAGTAGTATCTTCCAATTGTTTTCAATGTCTGATATCCATTTTAAAATGATAACAATTTAATGTATAACATAATTTTTCCCTGTTTAAAACTTATCATCTCAAAGGTAGTTACTAGCTGAAATTCTCTACTGAGGAAAAAACACATTTGTTCAGTTTCAATTACAGCTATTGTGGTGTACGAAAACACAAGTGGGGACACACTCACGAAACCGATAGGTCCTGGTTTGAATCTCCAGAGGCAGGATCATGGATGCACAATGCTGAGGAGTCCCACAATAGGATGAAACGGCCGTCTCAGTGCTTCCAGGTTTTCCATAGTGGTCTAATTTTAATTAACGCATGATCTCAACTATTGAAATGACTATAATATCCACAAAACACCTTCTGATACAAGCGAATTACAGAACATCTTAGTGAAATCTGAAAACCATACAGCGAATACTTCATTTACAAAATATCAATCAATCAACTCAGACTTCATTATTCCTACATTTCCATACCAATTGCTTTCTGTTTCTATTATTTCCTTCACGATCTTCTTGACCTTCTACTGTTAGACATTGTATTCATGACTAGTATTATTTACTACTTATGTCGATATAAGTAGCACACACACCATGTTATTTAATCTTTTGAAGTAACTTATATAATTTTTACTCAATACATATTTTTTAAAGTGTATCCAATCTAATTTTAAAGATATACATCTACACCACCTGGTTTTTCATATAGGAAACAGAATATAAATTCAATCCTAAACTGTAACTAAGCGATTTATTTACTAAATGATTTATTAATTACACTTATGGTTTACATAATTTTCATTTAGAAGACACCATCACAAACAGACCAATCAAATATATATATATATCGAACTATCCATAAAGAAATACATCTAATCACTAAGTGAATTTTCTTATGACGATAAATAATAAGGCGCCAAGTTCGTGTTCGTTTTTTTTCCTTTCTAAAATACGATAAACCGAATAATCTTGCTTATACTTTAGTGGAACTAGAATAATTACCAACAACAAAAAAACGAACACCATTACATAGAAAATAATGTATTGGAGAAATAAAGCATTAAAGAGATTCATTATGTGAATAGAGCATGAAAACAGGATAATTTATACATATGTTTATGAGCTGTGATGCTACCTGAGTGCCCAGATCGAACCAGGTAGTTTTCTTAGGAAACCACATCCGGAACCTTTAACCTAAAGGTGTGATCCACAAGGTAGTAGATCAATATTAGATGTAATCCCATCATAGACGGTGACTAATAATTGTTTCATACGCCATTTGTTCCTTCAGGATATTGGAACCCATGTGGACCATTGGTTTGTAATCGGGTTTTTTCAGCTATTCTAGATGGACTCTCCATGTCCACCAACACGGTGGAAGCGTCGGACATTTGCTTTTTATCCACTCAATTTCGTAAACAACAGTAATGTCGAGAGAAGGCAGTGAGTAAAACTTCCCTGACAGTGGTTCTTTTGATTTTCTTTCTAAAATACGACAAACCTAATAATCTTCCTTATAGTTTACTGGAACTAGAATAATTGTCAACAACAAAAAGACGAACACCATTACATAGAAAATAATGTATTGGAGAAATAAAGAATTAAAGAGATTCATTATGTGAATAGAGCATGAAAACAAGATGATTTATACGTACACATATATAGATATATATACTACTTACAAATGGAATGAATTGAATTCTTTGTATGATACTAATGATTTCGTTATGTAATTATGACATTACTCTTTAGAAAATAAGTACAATGTACTGAACTACTCATTAGTAGATGATTACATATTGCGTAAAACTATCACTGAGTTATTATATGTGTAATGGCTTAGATTCAATCATCCTTGTAACTGTTATTATATACATTTCAACAGTGTTTGAAATCAGAAGGGTAGTAAGAAGTGGTAACTAATGTACCGAAATGCTATTTAGCCAAATGGATGAATGAATTTCGCGCCAAAATCTGAGACCTGTTATCTTATACACGATTGGTTTGTCCATAAATTATAGTCTCATCATATTCAAGTTTTCAGGAGAAAATTTAATTGTAAAACTTATTTTTGAGATTTGATTAGATTAGTAGCTTCTAGTTTTGTCTGATGGAGAGAATATTTTGAAGACAAATTTTCAACAAATAACCGACAGTTGAAATCAGGAGTCAATTGAAACTAGACCACCATGGAAAACCTGGATGAACTGGACGGCCGTTCTGTCCTAGTATGGGACTCTACAAAAGTCCGTACCCACGATCCCTCCTCACGAGACTCGAGTCAAGGATCTATCGGTCTCGAACGCGAACACTTGACTTCTAGACCACTTAGCCGGCCGGTATCCATCACTATGTAGTGTCGGTTATTATGTTAAGCCCATATACTTTATTCTAACTTTCGGACAGCTCAATCTATTCATTCTACTTGAGTCATATTTTGACTTGTGAATACTTATATTTCGTATATAAAGCGAATGGAATAGAGAGAACAGGAACGACGCAGAGTGGAGATTGGGCTGTTCAAAAGTTAGAATAAAGTATGTGGGCTTAACATAGTAACTGACACTACAAATATTATTGTCTGACTTTAACCAATTCACAAATATGCTCCACCGTTCAGCATTGTCTTCAATGATTTACTATCTCACAATAGACCCAGTTAGTCTCCACTGGTCACTGCTTCTCACTAGAACTCTAGAAAATACCTGTTAAAGTCAGTCACTAGTGAGCATGTGTTGATGAATATCAGAAGGGGTTTTGTGAATATTATAGTAATTTCGATAGTTGAGATCATGATCCAATTGAAGTTAGACCACCATGGAATACCTGGAAGCACTAGATGGCCACTTCGTTCTATTGTGGGACTGCTCAGAATTGTGCACCCACGATTCCGACTCCCGCTGAGTAGTCCCATACTAGAACGAAACCGTCGTCTAGTGCTTTCAAATTTTCCATGGTGGTCTAACTTCAGTTGACTCATGATTTCAACTATTGAAATTACTAAAATCTCCACAAAACCCCTTCTGAAAATAACTATCAATATAAATTATTACTATAGTGTAGAGGATATGTAGCTCAGGTAGATTATTTTTATGAAGTTTTTGTTCTCTAAACTGGATTGAATTTTTAGTCGTGGAGATTTCATCGTTCTTCTGAACAATATCATCAGCAGAACTTCGGATAGAAGTGTTGATGATGTCGTTCAGAAGAACGATGAAAGCTTCACGATCAAACTATCCAACTTAGAGAGTAAAACCCCATCAAAAACATTGTTGCCATAAGAAATATTAAGAAAGTTAATAAAGCAATTCTTATTTTCTCTTTTAGTTTTCTATAACCATATAATCTATTCCCATTTATAATTTCATTCATTATTCTACATTGTAAAATGTAGTGGCTTTACTTCGTTAATCAATCACCTTTGTAACCGTTATTATACATATATCCCATGGTATTTGAAATCAGAAAGCAATAAGACGTGGAAACTATAGTTTATTAGCGGATAGCGCAGATCACAAATCTATGAGCACATCAAGCAAATTAGAAGCATGGACCCGAATATTTGTGTATGCAAGCAAATATAGAAGCAAATTTATAGTTAATTTTCATAAGGGTACATCAAGACAAAGCAAAAGCTGAAAATAGGATTTGAGTACATATAAACATGGGGAAAAGAATGAATCATTGAGTGATATTTAGGCAATCAACAATTTATGTAGAGTCTGTCATATGATCAAGTGTACACGTTTATACAGATATGAGCTATTGGTTCACAAGTGAAGTACTTCATTCATGAAGTTTTAGAGACCTCCATTTCCACCAACACGGTTGAATGGTTGGACATTCACTTTTCATCATCTCAATTTCATAAACAATAGTAATGCCACGAGAATGCAGTGAGTAAGACTTTCTTGGCAGTGGTTGTATGCACGTGGCCATGTGAGAGCATTTGGCGAGGGAGAGCTGACTCTCCCCTCACTCGATCGTACTAGGGCATTTGAGGGCAATTCATCAAGGTAGTCGACATTCCTCATTTTCTTACTTACCTACTTACTTACTTACTTACTTACTTACTTACTTACTTACTTACTTACTTACTTACTTACTTACTTACTTACTTACTTACTTACTTACTTACTTACTTACTTACTTACTTACTTACTTACTTACTTACTTACTTACTTACTTACTTACTTACTTACTTACTTACTTACTTACTTACTTACTTACTTACTTACTTACTTACTTACTTACTTACTTACTTACTTACTTACTTACTTACTTACTTACTTACTTACTTACTTACTTACTTACTTACTTACTTACTTACTTACTTACTTACTTACTTACTTACTTACTTACTTACTTACTTACTTACTTACTTACTTACTTACTTACTTACTTACTTACTTACTTACTTACTTACTTACTTACTTACTTACTTACTTACTTACTTACGCTTGCTACCAGTCATGGAGGAGCATAGATCTCTAGTCAGCATTCTCATTCAAACTCGTGTGTACAATCCTTTCTACTTGTTTCTAGTTTCTATTCATCCGTCTCATGTCTACTTCCAATTCCTGATTCCGTATATTTTTTTATCTTCCTCCTTTCTGCTTCCCCTCAGAATAAGAAGTTTATAATTCACAATATACAAACCTAATTGTTTGTATTAACTTCATTATATCTCATTACCTCTTCTTTACAGATACATCCATTCAAAGCATTCAACTTGTTTCTCTCATACAACCTTCTCTTTGGTTATCATCATCATCATCATCATCATCATCATCATCATCATCATCATCATCATCATCATCATCATCATCATCATCATCATCATCATCATCATCATCATCATCATCATCATCATCATCATCATCATCATCATCATCATCATCATCATCATCATCATCATCATCATCATCATCATCATCATCATCATCATCATCATCATCATCATCATCATCATCATCATCATCATCATCATCATCATCATCATCATCATCATCATCATCATCATCATCATCATCATCATCATCATCATCATCATCATCATCATCATCATCATCATCATCATCATCATCATCATCATCATCATCATCATCATCATCATCATCATCATCATCATCATCATCATCATCATCATCCTCATCATCATCATCATCATCATCATCATCATCATCATCATCATCATCATCATCATCATCATCATCATCATCATCATCATCATCATCATCATCATCATCATCATCATCATCATCATCATCATCATCATCATCATCTTCTTCTTCTTCTTCTTCTTCTTCTTCTTCTTCTTCTTTTAGACTTTGTTGTCTGTTTTCGTTGTTGCTGTTGTTGTCATTGTTATTACCAATTAAGTAGAAGTTCCCATCTAAAATAATCCTTTATATAAATAGATTTGTTTATTTACAACAACAACAAAAATTCATTTACACTTTATATAAAATAAATGAAGTACAATGACACTTTGTGTATAATAATTATTTGTCATTTAGACATATTTTGGCGCCTATACACAAAATAAATTATATAAACAAATAATGAATTTGAAAATAAATATATAAACAGTAAAGTACATAGAGATTCGTAGACTCCTGTCCCCCCCCCCTCATTTTCGTGTTTCTATGTATGTATGGGGAGGGGGAGAATATGATCAACTGAATTTGTTAATGGTAAGTTGTTTCTTCTTCTTTTTTTTTGTTGTTTTGATATTACACATAAATAAACATAAATACATGAAGTTAAAAAAGAAAATGAACTTGATGGATGTCTTTTTAATCTTCATTATTAAGAAATGAATATAATGACCGAATATTTATATATAAGACAATGGAAGAGAATGATCTAGTTAAAGAATATAAAAAGATAATCGGTGTGACTATAATTTATGGATGACGTTTAAGTAACGTTAGAATGACCTTGAGGGTGTCCATCTAATAATTAGGTTAATAGTATTCAATCTGCACTAAGAAGGACTTGACACACATGGCAGTGATCACCACCTAGTGATCAATCAACTGTGATTACATCTCAGTCCTACAGGAGGTCAGTCGCGACCCGGATAGCTCATTGGTAACGTCTCTGACTGTGAAGCTGAATGATACGGGATTGAGTCCGTCAGGTAGCATCAGTCCCTGCAAGATTAAAGGTACATCTTACTGACGAGTGCCAAGTAGCACGAAACCTAGGTCCAGCGTTTCCTGTTGACTACCTCCAACCATCATCTAATCTCAGTATACTGCACAGTGTCGTGTTACCTATACTAAAAGCCACACCGCAACTTGGTCGATAGCATTCGATCTGCACTAATAAGGACTTGACACACATGACATTGATCACCACCCAGTGATCCATCAATTGTAATAACTAGGGCCAAATGAATGTTATAAATTAGTGTGACGAATTCGAATTATGATTTACAGTTGATAGTTAGGATTAGGAATTAGATTTAGGCTTATCATCACTAATTGACATTAGTTATAATGCCAAAATCATATTTTGTCAAATGTATGGATAAATTTTGCGCCAAAAATCCAAGACTCGTTATCTTATATCTGATTGGTTCATCTATAAATTATAGTCTTGTTGAGATAATATGTTACCAAGTAATTCATAGTTGATTTTCATTTTCTCACTTGAGTTTATTTATGTTATTTGTTATTGATTATTCTGGTCAGAATGTTAATAAGTAAATACAAAAATCATTAACTAGTTGATATCATAATGGATGAACATATTAACGTTTCTATGATGTAAAAGTTTTATGTTCCGTATTAGACGATAGGGGGTCTTGGGAAAGAGTTAGATATTATGGAGTGTTGATAGGATGAAAAATGAAGTTATTCATTGAAATAGGGAAATAATTGAATTATTGTTTAGTCACTATTAGACTAAAGAAGGGTGTAGTGTAGGTGTATTTGTACGTGTGTGGGGGGGGAGAAAGAGAGAAAAAAGGGAGTTCATGCGAGATGAGGTCATAAAAGTAGATATGAAAAAGGTAGAAAGTTACCTGCATCATTTTCCAAAATAAAACATATAAAATAAATGAATGGCATGAAAATAGAACTTTTTGATTTGTTTATTGTAAATGGCGCAAAATAACGTTCAGATAGATAAATAAACAAGTCAATAGATATCAGAAGGGTTTTTTGATATTATAGTAACTTCAATAGTTGAGATCATGAGTTAATTGAAGCTAGACTGCCATGAAAAACCTGGAAGCACTAGATGGCTTATTGGTCTAAAGACTAAGCATTTACGCGCCAGACCGATAAATCCTGGGTTCGTGGATGCGCACTGTTGGTGAGTTCCACAATAGAACGAAACAACCGTCTAATGCTTCCAGATTTTCCATTGTGGTCTAGCTTCAATGGACTCATGATCTCAAATATTAAAATTCAATAAATAAAGACAAATTGTTATGCAATATCAGTGTTAATTACTTACTTACTTACGCCTGTTACTCCTAATGGTGCATAGACCACCGATTATCATTCTCCAACCCACTCTGTTCTGGGCCTTCCCTTCCAGTTCTATCCAGTTGTTGTTCATTCTTCTCATATCTGTCTCCATTTCTTTGTGTAATGTGTTCTTTGTTCTTCCTCTTTTCCTTTGGACTTAAGGATTCCATGTGGGGGCTTGCCTTATGACACAGTTGGGTGCTTTCCTCAATGTGTGTCTTATCCACTTCCAGCGTTTCTTGCTGCTTTCTTCCTCCGCTGGGATCATTGTTAAATTACATAAAATGAAGGATAAATTATTGTCGTACTCTCCTAATACAATTCATATTCCAAGAAAAATCTTGAAGTGCTCTTTTATGTATTTTACTAAATATATAGAAAAAGGTGCTATTTCACAGAAGCTAGGTAATGTTTCATTAGTCATTATTTTCTACTAAATCATTGTCAATATCATGACCATATAGGAGGTCAGTTGTAGTCAGCAAAGGTCATTCATAAACGTCTAAGACTATGACATTGATTAACATAGGTATGGATCATACAAAAGCAATCATTTCTTAGCTTGTGAAAGTTGGATCACTGTTTCCTACCGATTGCTGCCCTGACACCTAGAAATAGTTTAAAGTTGTTTATCATTAAATTTTTTGTGTTGATAAGTGATTCATGAACATCAATATTTTTCGATTAGAAAAAATATTTATTCAGACTGATCCTAGAATTTGACTAATTGCTTGTTTGAGTTAGATGATAGTTATTTCAATCGTCTGCTTACATCATAAACTCAAACACCTACTTCAGTCACTTGATTGACCTTGATTTGATTACATTGAAAGATTGAACAACTTTTCTCAGACCAACCTATTTACAAAAATGAAAAACTGGTTAGGACTCGTCAGTGTTCAAGCTAATGATGGGAAGTAACTAGTATGCTTGGCTACATACGGATCAGTCTGACCATCAACAAAAAACATATTAACATTCATACATTCAACCTAGAGGTAACGCGATCTATAAGGACTCAGTAGCTAAGTGGATAACATGGTGGTGTTTGAAGCGAACGGTACCGAGTTCGAGTCCCCAAGTGAACATCAACTATGAGATGCAGGTACATTCAACTGATGAGCCCCAGATGGGACAAAATGCGCATCCTGCATTCCACTGCTAGCCACTATCCATATTTGCTTATGATGCTTGTGAATTAAGACAATATCAAGGCAATCCGCTCAGTATGCACATATGCCAATAAGAAAATGATCAGTTTATCCGTACTAAACATCAATGGGAAGATTCAAATAAACAATACCAGGTGACGTCACCAGAAATGTTTTAACAATAAGCTGGTCAACATACAATAACTATTGAAGCATTTTACAATTCACCACTTATATTTTCGGCCAATATAAACTACAATCTTTGTGAAAGCTAATAATCTTATTTTAACGCAAATAAATCACATTACCTCTAGTTTGAATGTATGAATATTAATCTGTCTTATGTTGATGTACACTTCGGGACCCGAACCCGGTACCATTCACTTCAAACACTATCGCATGTTATCTACTGAGTCCTAATAGGTGCATATATATCAACAAGTTATTGATCAATTGCAATCCTCAATAACAATCGAACAATACAAGTAAAACACAAAACAACAAACAAACTATCCATCTAACGCAATATAACAATATAAAGAAATGGTCATAAATTTGACTTTATTTAATATGAGAATAACAATATACTACTGAATTATAAATCATATTGATGCTAAGCACAATGAGACTATAATGTATAGACAACCTTTGAGAGACACTAGACTGAACTTGAGAGTGTTCACTTAATAACTAGGACTAAATGAGGGTTATAAACCACTGTGAAGAATTAGAATTATGATCTACAATTGATTGTCAAGGTTATGAATTAGATTTAATGTTTTCATTACGAATAGACATCAACTGTAATGTCAAAATTCTATTTAGCCAAATGGATGAATGAATTTCGCGCCAAAAAACTAAGACCTATTATATCCTGAATCTGATTGGTTCGTTCATCAATTATAGTCTCGCTCATTATTTAAATATTCAATGTTCAATAGTTTGTTTATTTATATAAAAATTATAAGAAAAAAAAACCGCGCTCAAATGAATCAATATGAATTTACATATTTAATTCATAGGGAAATGTTTATATAGAACAAGTTCGTTTTGTTTTGTTTTAATTTATTTCTATTTTTTTCTTTATTTTTCTGTTATGTCAAATAGGATTTTAAATAAACAAACTAAAATTAATGTTAATAATCATAATCATAATAAACATCTTTCAAGAAATGTAAACAATCAAAGTTGTTAAGCATTCAATTCTATTGTATTTCTTAATTCTCACTTTTAACTAATTCAAATTTATCAATATTGAAGAGAATGGCGCCAAAATTTAGTATTCTTATATGTGTGTTGTTTATGTTTCCCACTTCCTTTGTCACTGTGTGTGCACGTGTGCGTGTGTGTATGTGTGTATATAGGTGGGTAAATAGTTCAGATCTGTATACATAAATACAAGTGTTTAAATACTTCAAATAATAAGTTAATGTCATTGTGTTTAACGATAGACGGTGAAACTGTTTTGGGTAACAGATTAAAAAAACAATTTGATTGATCTGTATTCATTGTGGCAAATAGTATGGTTTATTTGAACATTGTCGAGAAAAATGGAGAGACTATAATTTATGGACGAATTAATCAGATTTAGGTTGATTACCTACTTACTTTCGCCTGTTACTCTCAATCGAGTATAGACCAACAACCAGAATTCTAAAACTCACTCTCTCCTGCTCCTTCTCTTCTGTTCTTCATTCTTCTCATGTCTGTATCCATTTCTTGGTAAAATTTGTTCTTTGGTGTTCCTTTT